GCTTGTTGCCTGAAAGCAGCCTCTGCACTACCTTTAGTGAAACCCTGGAACTAGTTAATGTGTGTGAGGATTACAATACAGGCAAAGTGCCAATTTAAGCTCTGTGTTCATTTCTTGCATTCTTCCCTCAAAAAGGAGGGGATCTTTGAGAGAGAACTTTAGCTTTTAAAAATATGATATAGGTGGTACCCAAAAATACAGAGCCTTGAGCACATATTTTACGGACTTACAAACTAGTCTGAAAGATGAGTAGTGTTAAAAAAAAAAAAAAATTCAACTGAGTAATTTGAAGGTCTGATTGGCTTTATTAAGCAATTCATGAGTTGGGCAGAATCCTGAAGTTGTAGTACAAAATGGAAGGTTTTTATAGGAGGAGGGTGAAGCAAGGAAGTTATCAGCAAAAGAAAGAAAAGATTCTTCCAGGCAAGGTCACTTTCCCTTTGGGGGGGAATGGCAGGGGGTGTCTTCATGCAGATTACCTTATTGGTTCTTAACAGAAAATTCCTGACTGACCAGTTAAGACAATATTTGTGGGGGAGCATGAAACCACGATTAATATTAGACATTAAGCCCTGGTTTGTGACTTGACCTAAGTGACACCATTTTGGGCCTATGGTTTTCTTTTTAACAGTAGGGATAAGGCAGAGTAGGGAAAATCGCCTTCTATTTAAAGAGATTAAGTGAAATAAACACTGAAGAATGTGATCTTGGTTTTAGATGAGTAGTAGAAGTATATTAGTAGTAATGACAATCAAGTTACCCATGCTACTTTTTTTTGTTTAAGATTTTATTTATTTATTTGAGAGAGAGAATGAGATAGAGAGAGCATGAGAGGGGGGAGGGTCAGAGGGAGAAGCAGACTCCCTGCCGAGCAGGGAGCCCGATGCGGGACTCGATACCGGGACTCCAGGATCATGACCTGGGCCGAAGGCAGTCGCTTAACCAACTGAGCCACCCAAGCGCCCGTTACCCATGCTACTTAACTGATAACAAAAGAAAACTCTGACTAAGCAAAGGCTAAAAGATTAGTAAATTTCTACTAAAGAGATCACCTAAGGCAGCACTTGGACTATCAGTGTGGTAAAGATGAATTATTCAATACCTGTTGAGACAACTGCCTAGCCATCTGGAAAAACAGGTCTGTATTCCAACCTCACTCCATATATCAACATAACTCTCAGCTAGATCAAATTTGTAACCATAAAAAAAAAAAAAAAGAAAAGAAAAAAAAGAAACCCCAGAAGTGCTAGGAGAAACTAATAGACGGGAAAAGCTTTTCTAAGCATGATGTAAAAACCAGAAAATATAATAGAAAAGATCGATAGATTTGCCTACATAAAAATTGAAAATATTTATAGAGCATGTCAACCAAGAAAAGAATTCACTGAAAATTTGAGCAAACAGACGGTTATCTGGGCAATTAGAATTGCAATTTGGGAGACACAGATTCAGATAGAAACCTGAATTGTGTTCCAAGGAAGACAAAGAGAGAGCAGAGTTATATAGGCAAAAGGCTATGAGTGTAGTTCTCATTCAGGTCTTCTATGTAAAGGAGGGATTGGAATTAGGGTAACTGGGATTGGTTGGGTTAATCTGAAAATGAGGGATTGAAATTTGCTAAACACATTGACTCTTTGGAAGTGAAGAGTGCATATGATTCAGGTGTCATGGTGAGGAGGAAGTTTAGTCCAGGCTGAGGGCTTGCAGCTAGCTGAAAAGTTCACAGTTTCTAAGTTGAGGACATGCATAACCTATGGCTTCCCAACCCTATATATATATATATATTTTTTTTTTTTTTTTTTAATGAGAGAGTGTACACTTTAGCAGGGGGGAGGGGCAGAGGGGGAGAGAGAGGATCTTAAGCAGGTTCCACACTCAGCATGGAGCCCAACTGGGGGCTCGGTCTCACGACCCTGAGATCATGACCTGAGCTGAAATCAAGAGTAAGATTTGGGGTGCCTGGTTGACTCAGTCGGTTAAGCATCTGCCTTGCTCAGGTCATGATCCCCCTACTCAGCGGGGAGCCTGCTTCTCCCTCTCCCTCTACCTGCTGCTCCCCCCGCTTGTGTGCACCCTCTCTCTCCCTCTCTCTGTCAAATAAATAAATAAATAAATAAAATCTTAAAAAAAAAAAAATAGGGCGCCTGGGTGGCTCAGTTGGTTAAGCGACTGCCTTCGGCTCAGGTCATGATCCTGGAGTCCCGGGATCGAGTCCCGCATCGGGTCCCTGCTCGGCAGGGAGTCTGCTTCTCCCTCTGACCCTCCTCCCTCTCATGCTCTCTGTATCTCATTCTCTCTGTCTCAAATAATTAAATAAAATCTTTAAAAAAAAAATAGGATGCTTAAAAGACTGAGGCAACCCCTCCCAACCCTATTTTAAAAAGAGACTCTCTTAGCTAAGCTTGCTTGCTTTACCTTGGAAATCTCCTTTTCCAAGCATAAGAAAGCTGAAATAAATCACGAACTAGGTGAAATGTTTGCAATATATATATCATAGGCCCAGTGCTAAAAGCCCCTACAAGGAAAGATCTTGTAATCAAGTGTTAAAAAATTATTAAAGACAACTTAGATAATACAAAACTTCAATACTTCATGAAGTAGACAGTTTCTTTGTTCAGAGACTACAAAAGGGGTAGAAGGCAAGAAGCTTTTATAAGAATAAAGAATAAAGAACAAGTGGGGGGTGGGGTACCTGGGTGGCACAGTCAGTTAAGCAACTGACTCTTGGTTTCGGCTTAGGTCATGATCTCAGGGATCAAGCCCAGAATGGGGCTCCACGCTCAGCGCAGTCTGCCTAAGATTCTCTCTCTCTCCTCTGCCCCTTCCCCATGCATGCGCTCTCTCTCAAATAAATAAATAAATCTTAAAAAAAAAAATAGGGGCGCCTGGGTGGCTCAGTTGTTAAGTGTCTGCCTTCGGCTCGGGTCATGATCCCAGGGTCCTGGGATCGAGCCCCACACTGGGCTCCCTGCTCTGCGGGAAGCCCGGTTCTCCCTCTCCCACTCCCCCTGCTTGTGTTCCCTCTCTCGCTGTCTCTCTGTCAAATAAATAAATAAAATTAAAAAAAAAAAAAGAAACAAGGAAGAGAAAAATCGAAAATTTCTCATTAGCTGGGGCCACATAGTCAGCCTTGTTTGGAGTGAGGAGGAAGAGGAAATAAGTACAGAGCCCAAACTGGCTTGGCATTTGAGGATTGGCTGACTGGATATACTGTGTTTCTGGTCAGGCAAAGCATTTACAAGGACACAAAAGTTATCTTAAGTTTCAGGTTGCTGATGTGGCATTCTGAACACTCTGTCTTGGGCCTAGAAAGTTATTTCAACACGAAGAAAGCCCGGTGAAAACAATGGAAAAAAAAAGTTTAATTCCTACAACTGATCAGTTTCTGGAAAGGTGTTCCAACAGCCCTACTGATATTCACACAAATGGTGTGTAGGGGGAGACACTCTTCACCTATTAAAATGGAAGCTATTTGAAGATCAATAGCTGCTAGTTTGGGCAAGGGTATAGGAAAACATGCATTTTTGTGCCCTACTAATGAGAGTGTAAATCGGAATAACTTCAAGAGAATGGTATAACAAAATATAGCATCAACATTTAAAATGTGCTAACTTACTGAAACTGGTTTATTAGGATTTATTCCTATGGAAATACTTGCACATGTGTGCAACGATCCACGTGTGATGTTATGCAGGAAGTTATCTCGATGCAGTGGTAACCTCCAAATACGCTATCAGACAGGCTATCCTGTATGTCATGGACAGGAAACGCCACAGCCCAAATTAAGATGCTCAAAATCACATAGTTTAGTGAATCACTTTTCAATAGGAGTCAGTGACGGTTAAGACATTTAGGATAAGGTGCCAGGGAGCTGGGAGGACCATATTACCTGAATCCTGTGTAATGCAGTGTTTATGTCCCGTCTACTGCGTCGACCTTCACTTCTGATAGTGCGGTTATAAGGACCACAGCTGAAATTGGAAAGGGGGCTCAGCAGATAGAGGGGTGCCTAAAGCCAAAACGTTCTTCTATCAGAAATGTGCAGGGCAAGTTTGCCTGGTTGGAGGTCTGCTGTGAGCCATGCTTTCTGTTTTTCTGAAGCAGAACATCCATGGGGCCAGGATGGGTGTGAACAACGAACAGCATTTGGGGGGATAATGTAGTTATTGGCCCAAAGGTGGTATCTTAACTTACACCTTGGCCTTTCCATTATTTTCAGTTAGTAACCCTCTTGTTTGTTCCATCCCTTCTATATATATTTTCCATTCTATCTTTATCGTGTCTTACAGTATGCTTTCTGTACTTAACACATCTAAACAGTTCTATCTCATAAGCTATTTGCTTTCCCATTACACTTAACACATGAGTTTCGTATGTCCTTTTTGTTTTTCCTGTCCTTTAGAACAGAAATGAATAGTCTCAGGTGCCTGAGTGGTTCAGTCGGTTGAGGGTCTGACTCTTGGTTTCAGCTCAGGCCCTGATCAAGGCCCATGTTGGGCTTCGCGCTGAGTATGGAGCCTGCTTAAGAGTCTCTCTCTCTCTCTGGGCGCCTGGGTGGCTCAGTTGGTTGAGCAACTGCCTTCAGCTCAGGTCATGATCCTGGAGTCCCGGGATTGAGTCCCGCATCAGACTCCCTGCTCAGCAGGGAGTCTGCTTCTCCCTCTGACCCTCCCCCCTCTCATGTGCTCTCTCTCTCCTCTCATCCTCTCTCTCAAATAAATAAATAAAATCTTTAAAAAAAAAAGTCTCTCTTTTTCCCTGCCCCTCCCCCCACCAAAAGAAAGAAAATACACATAGCAAACATATATGAAACATTTTGCTTAGAATATAAAAACAGTTTTTTTTCAATAAGGGATAGGATAAATATGTTATTTTGTATATAACGGGATATTAGTTGTTTAAAATGGGAATGTATATCTTTATTGACAAAAAAGGAAAAAGATATCTATTTTATATTGAGTGAATAAGGATTCAAAAACATGATGTACAGTATTCCATTTATGTTTTAAAAATGCATTTATGTACATAAATGCATCTAGATGTGTACAGAGAGGACATCTAAAAGAAGCTTCTCTAAAATATTAACGGTAGTTTTCTCTAAGCGTAAGATTGGGGGTAATTTCTTGCTGCTTATATTTTGTTTTATTACAGGTGAGTTTTTTGGGGAGAGGAGTACTATAAGAAGCTTACATTTTTATAATCTACAGAAAGAACGAATCAATTATGGCTTTTAAGAATTTCAGATTACCAGCATTGTGCTCTGGGAAGAATAGCCTTCAAAGTCAGATAGACCCAGATCCATTACTAGCTGTCTAAAATCGGGTGCTTAGCCTCCCTTATCTTCAATTTCCTAGTCTGTAAAATGACAATGATAATAAGTACCTTAGAGGAAGTAAGAACGTGTGCTAAGAGCATAGCACAATGCCAAGATCATATTAGTGGTCTAATAAATGTTCCCCACACACACCCCATATTTGATACAGTGCTTAATTCCCTTCTGCTCTGATAGTGTGAAAGGACCTAGTAATCATAGTGCTAGGAAATCTCAGCTGCAGAGAACTCTTTCCAAGACAGGTCAGCTTATAGTATCTTCCTTACTTAGTAGCTGTGGTCCGACAAAGCCTGATAAGGGAATCTGGGGTTTTTCCAGGCTTCCATTAAGAACTTGAAAGTGTAAGATATATCCCACTGGCAGGGCGCCTGGATGGCTCAGTTGGTTAAGTGTCTGCCTTCTGCTCAGGTCATGATCCTAGGGTAGGGTCTTGGGATGGAGCCCCGTGGTGGGCTCCCTGCTCAGCAGGGAGTCTGCTTCTCCCTCTGCCCCTTCCCCTGCTCCTGCTCTCTCTCTCTCTTTCTTTGTCTCTCAGATGAATTAAAAAAAAAAAACTTAAAAAAAAAAGATATCCCACTGGAAAATATTTTGGCCCCTAGATCTAATAAGATCATATTTAAATAAGTAAAACTTGGGGTTAGATCGCAGTCTTACCAAACTTTAGTGTGTATATGATCATCTACAGAAGTGATTCTCAATCCCATTCAGACCTGATGTCACTTTTTTTTTTTACAATGTTCATGTTACTATACTGAAATTCAGAGATAATTTTTTAAATGAATACACACATTTTTAAAAATCAGTATAATTTCTTGACAGTAAGATAAAGAAATAAAAAGAAAGTCATTATAATTAATGTGTATTTCAATATATAAATGGTCTGATATGATTAACTTTATGACATAAAGCAGTATTCGGATGCTTGCACATCTGGGTAGACTCAACCACGAATGTGTCAAATATAAGTGTGTTATATTGACAACCAAATAGCATGAGCCATTGACCATTGATGATGTGATTTTCCAAAATGGTGCACAACTTTTGGTAAAGTTTTGGACTAAAAAGGTTAATTTCCCTCTAGTTTACACAGTTGTTGAATTCCTATAAAATTTAATGCGTAGTAAGACCCTGCAGAAACTACTTTAAAGGGAGATTGTTTAAAATGTGCGTTCTTGGACCCTCAACTCCAAGTATTTTGACTCAGGGAGTCTAGCATAGGACCAAGAATCTATATAACAACCTCCTGGCAGTGATTTTGATTCAGACTTTCTGTTTTCTAAATGAACTGGGAAACTGAGATGTTGTCTTGGAAAGAGAACCTAAGATGATATACCAGGAACCAAAAACTGGTATATCATTGGCCATTCCTACCCAGCGTGGTATACTGGGGCTAGAGGAAGAAATTTAGAACAGGAATATCTTGGTTTCAGTCACAACTGGGCTACTTGCAATTGCCTGGCTTGGTACAGATGTTCTGGATCTATTTTCTTATCTATAAAAATGGGTATTGTTACCTGCAGTGTAGAGGAATGGGATTGTGGTTTCTGAAACCCTTTGGAGCTTGCTTGCTTTATCAAGATGACTAAAACTCCTGATATAAAGCAGTCTGTAAAATTAAATATATTAGGCATGAAAATTGCTTATTATGGCAATGCTTTTATCCACACGTTAGGAAAATCTGATCAGGGTGTTGTCACTTTCCCCAAAACCCACTGTTTGAACCCAGAGAAAGCAAGCCACAAAGAAATTTAGTCGCTAACTCCTCCACTCAACAAGCAAAATAAAAAGGCACAAGCTCGTAATCCTGATGACAAGATTCTGGCTCCATTTGGCCAGTGGCCAAGAGTGTGGATATGGATGAGTCACTTCCCTTTCATTGAACTCGGTTTACTTAGACTTTCAGCTCCATCTGTTAGTCAACTACTCCATTCCTCTTTGCTTCCTCCTTTCCCACACCTGCTACCAGCCTTTCTACCTCTCTGATGACTTTTCCTCCGCGCTCCTACCGCTTCTTGTACGTTCCGCGCTTTCTTGTCCCAGATTTCTGTCACCAGCTCCTCGGCCGTCCCTTTGGCTTCTTCCCTTTGTTCGGTGATCCCTGGCAATCCTCCCGCAACGTCCGGGCTCCTCCCCAAGATGGGGGAAGGGGGGCGGCTACCCGCAGCCCCGACTGGGGCCCACACTGTGCGCCCGGGTCCCGGTACCTCGTCGCGTCCTCGCGACTTGCTCTTAGCTCCCTTTCCCTCTCAAGACCTCCTGCCCCCCATCTCCGCCTTCAGCGCCGAGCTCGGAGGTTCCGGAGCCTCCGGCTGAGTGTGCTGGTCAAGGTGCCCTGTCACTCGCCACCCGTTCGCCCCGGAGAACATCGCCAAGGGCCCCTGCCCAGACCGTGCGCCCCGGCTGCCAGACGCTGAGGCCGGCTTTAATTCTTCCTTGGCTTGGGATGCCCACCACGGGCGGGGGCAGTCGCTGCTGAGCCCGGAGCCCGGAGCCACCCACGTGTCCAAGAGCGCGGCGCGCGGCCAGCGCAAACCTCTCCAAGGCCGGCGGCTCCTGGTCGCGGAAGCTCCACTGTTGCGCGCGAAACCCTCACCGGCCGGAGAGCGGCGCGCGGGTCGCGAGCGGCACGTGCGGATCCTCTGCGTCTCGCCGCAGGGTGCGGGTGCCCGCCGAGCCGGCGAGCCAGCGAGCGAGCGCCGGAGCAGGGAGGGTGGGCTCGCGGACCGGCCGAAGGGCCAGCACCTCGGGGCGGCAGGGGCCGCGCGGCGGCGCGGCCGGCGGGACTGCAGTGCCACCGCTCCGGAGAAAGCCCACACGCTCACACGCCCGCGCGCGCACGCACGTGCACACCGCGGGCAGCGAGAACACGAGCGAGAACCCTTGAGTGTTGGACGCGTTATAGCCATGGCTTCTGTCCTCAACAGCAAAATTCACGCGTCCGGGACTTGCCAGGGCTCCAAAGCTGATGCCCGCGGTGACGCCGACGCGAGAATGGACTGGGATCCCGAGATGCACGTGAAAATGTGCAAGAAGATCGCCCAGCTCACCAAGGTAAGGTAAGGCGCTGCGGGCCGGCGACCTGCGCGCCCTGGGGGCCCCAGGTTGGGGGAGGGGGACGGGCCCAGGGGAGGCCCAGGCTGAATCCGGGCAGAAACTTTGGGAGACCGACCCGTAAGGGAAGCGGTCCTAAATCTTGGTAACTTGACCTTCTGGAAGCGCCTCTCTGGAGAATGAGGATACTTGCCAAGGAAACTCCTACAGTGCTGAGCAGGTGGTCTGTGCTCCCAAGGTGGGAAACCTAGTTGAATCAGCGCTGGTGGGAGTGCGCGCGCGCGCGCGTTTGTTTTCCTTTGCCAGCTCTGCTCAAATGATCGGGTCTGGAATGTTGTGATTTTATTCATCGTTGTGCTTTACAGCTGGGGAGGTCATGTGGGCTCTATTTAAACACTTGATGAATTTATTCCTTCATTCAACAAATATTTGAGCCATTTGTTGAGTGCCAGCAGCTTGTCTGGCGCCGTACTAAACCTGGAAGGCAGCCCGGGGGACTTACTATCAGACTGGTGCAGATGTGTGTAAGAGCATAAATGGGGAAGTGCACGAGTCCCCAGTTAATTACTGGATTACAGAAGACCTTGGGAGGTCAGCCCGCCCATCTCCCTACCTCCTCCCAGGGACGGGATTGAACCTCTCCAGGACCCGATGAAGACCACCAAGAAGATGCCACACTGCCCTTGGTTAGCTCTCTGCAGCTTCCCTATTAGGAGCTTCTTATTGTAGGTTCCCCTCCTGTGCCTTGTGTATAGATGGAAACAAAAGCCCTCTCTTACAAGGTCCCAGTGGGGGAATATAGCTGTTTGTCGTGGGGTTTCCTTTTGATCTCATAATAAACTCCTGATACCATGCCTGCTAGTGGAAGGGTCAGGTCCAGATTCTGTCCAGTAGTGTATGGGGCATGCTCTCTTCTCTATCTCCCTCCCACCCCCCCACACCCATTTTTTTGTAGGTTCACAGGCATTTTCCTCTCTGACTATTTTGCCAGAAGGAAGAGAGCACAGTCTTGGAACTGGACACTAGCTGCCTTCTCCTGCCCTTCCCATCAACTTCTCTACATTATTTGCATATGAGCCTGTCTCCAGACAGTGATTTCGTTAGTCAAAGATTGAAAAAAGGGAATGGAGATACCCCTTGAGGCATTGGCATGTGTGGCTGGCACCAACTGATCTAATTTACATTTATCCAAATGTGACATCAACCCCTAAAAAATACTGATTCAAGGCTCTAGGCATAGTATAAGACATCTCTATCTTTAAGGAATCTAAAATGTTTTTGGAGACACAAGGTTTGAAACATGGAAAGAAAACTCAAAGACACTACTGTATAATCAATTGCTAAGTTGGGTTTTTCAAACTATGAGTTCTGTAGAAGTGGAAACAAAGGGTAAATCATTATGGGCAGGAACAGTTAGGGGAGATTTTATGGAAGAGATTAACCTTGAATTCAGTTGAATTTATGGAGTGCCTACTGTGTGCCAGGTGCTGTGCTGAATATTGATGGCATGAAACTGACTAAGACACAGTCCCTACCCCTGTGTATAAGAAACACACGAACAGATCATTTCAATACAATGTGGTAAACATTCCACTCAGCAGTATTTATGACACACCTATTATGTGCCAAGCACTGAAGATGACAGCAGTGGAAAAAGCAGCATGATCCCTAGCGCACAGTAGGCAGTGTTTCTCAAAGGATATTCTGCATTAAAAATCATAATGGATTCTTATTATGTAGTGCCTCTTTATACGGTTGTTATGCTAATTGATTAAATTAGACGTTTTAATATTGATATCGATATGCTACCTTTCTTTTTTTTTTTTTTTTTAAAGATTTTATTTATTTGTGAGAGAGGGAACGAGAGACAGAGAGCATGAGAGGGAGGAGGGTCAGAGGGAGAAGCAGACTCCCTGCCGAGCAGGGAGCCCGATGTGGGACTCGATCCCGGGACTCCAGGATCATGACCTGAGCCGAACGCAGTCGCTTAACCAACTGAGCCACTCAGGCGCCCGATATGCTACCTTTCTTTTGGCTAATGTTTGTGTGTATTTTCCATCTCATTAGATTGAATCTTTCTGTTAAGTTTTATTTTAGTTGTATTTCTGACAGGTGAATTTAATCCTGTGCATTAATTGTGATTACTAATATATTTGGGCTTATTCTTCCATCATGTTTTATGTTTTTCATGTGCCATCCTTTTTCATTCTTCCTTTTCCTCCGTTCCTGCCTTCTATTGGCTTAGTAAAATGATCTATATTCCCTCATTTTCCACTGCTGGTTTGAGGGTGTTAGGTTTTATTTCTATTCTTCTCAGAATTGTCCTTTTTTTTTCAACATACGTACTTGACTATAATTTTTTCTAACAAAATTATTATATAATTCTTTCTTCCTGCAAAAGATTTTCTTTTAAGATTTATTTACTTATTTTAGAGAGAAAGAGAGAGCAAGCAGGGGAGTGGGGAGGGGCAGAGGGAGAAAGAATATCTCAAGCAGACTCCCCACTGAGCCTGGGGCTCCACCTGGGGCTCAATCTCAGGACCCTGAGATCATGACCCTGAGATCATGACCTGATCCAAGATCAAGAGTTGGACTCTCAACCCTCTGAGCCACCCAGGCACCCCATTCCTGCAAAAGATTTTTGCAGACTTTACCATTTAACAGCCCTCTCCTTTCCCATCTTGCCATTGTTATCTAGAGTATTTGACTTTTTTAAATTTAAAAATCATTTTTATAATCAAGCCTTAATTAAATTCACTGACATTTCATCACCTCTCACTATTTTTTCTTGAATCCAAAGCCTTCTCTTTGGGTTCACTTTTCTTCTAGCTGAAGTTCATTTCTTTTCCTTTTTTTTTTTTTTTAAAGATTTTATCTATTTATTTGACAGAGAGAGAGAGAGAGAGACAGCGAGAGCAGGAACACAAGCGGGGGAGTGGGAGAGGGAGAAGCAGGCTCCCCTCTGAGCAGGGAGCCTGATGTGGGACTCAATGGCCTGAGCCGAAGGCAGACGCTTAATCGACTGAGCCACCCCGGTGCCCCTGAAGTTTATTTCTTAGTAAACTTTTCTGTAGGGGTCTGGGTGGGGGAGGGAATTCTTTGTATATTTGAAACTGTTGTTATTTTGCCCTCAGTGTTGGGTGATCATTTATTTGGGTATAAAATTCTAGTGAACATTTATTTTCCCAAAGCACAGTGATGAAGGTACTCCATTGTTTTCTGGCACTGGTTGTTGCTGGTAAAAATTCTACTGTCAGACTGTTTCATTCCTTTGTGGTCAGTCTGCCTTTCTCTTGATAGCATTTAAAATTTGTGTTTGTTTTATTTTGGTGTTTAGCAGTTTCACCAGAACTTTCTAGATGTTAGTGTACTTTCTGTTGAGGACTGGTGTGCTCTCTTTAATTCTGAAAAATTATCAATGATTTTCTCTTCAAATAATGTTTCTTTGTCATCGACTACATTCTCTTTTCTGGAACCGCCATTAGGTCAGTGAGGAAGCCTCTTCATCTATATCCTGAAATGTGATTAAAAAATTCTTTTTGCCTCTGTGTTGCATCCTGGTGAATTCCTTAATCCAATCCTTCCGTTTGCCAGTCCTCTAAATAAGTTGTCCAGTCCAGAGTTTTTCCCATCTTCAAGTCTTAACTCCTGTTAAGTTTTAGAATTTCAATTATATTTTTAATTTCTAAGATTACTAATTTCCTTTCTGATTTTAATAACTAATTTTTCCAGTTTTATTGAAGTATAATTTGCATATTACAAAATTCATCTATTTAAGTGTACGATTCGACATTTTTGGGTAAATGTTCAGAGTTATTACATTATAACCATAATCCAGGTTTCAGGACATTTCTATCCCCAAAGAAACCTATCCTAGGTACCCATTTGTAGTCAGTCCCCATTCCCACGCCAACACCAGGCAACCATTAATCTACTTTCTGTCTCTATAAATCTGTCTTTTCCAGACACTTCAACTCAATTAATTGATATAATATATGGTATTTCCATCTGGTACTTTTCACTTAGTTGCTTAATCTTAGCAGAATGTTTCTGAGGTTCATCCATGTTGTAGCATATGTCAGTCATTCATTCCTTTCTATTGCTCAGTAGTATCCCATTGATGGATATGCACTTTCTGTGGCAGACATTTGGGTCATTTCCACTTTGGAACCTTTGTAAATAATGTTGCTACAAACATTACATTCCTGTGCAAGTCTTCGTGTGGACACACATTTTCATTACAATTGGGTAGATACCTGGGAATAGAATTGTTGGATTGTATGTTATTTTTAAAAAAGATTTTATTTATTTATTTGAGAGAGAAAGAGAGAGCACAAGCAGGGGGGTGGGGAGGGGCAGAGGGACAAGTAGACTCCCCACTGAGCAGAGAGCCTGACACGGGGCTTGATCCCAGGACCCCAGGATCATGACCTGAGCCAAAGGCAGACGCTTAACTCGCCACCCAGGTGCCCCTGGATTGTATGTTATATTTATGTTTAACTTCTGAAGAAACTGCCAAACTATTTTCCAAAGTGACTGTCATCTTACATTGTTCAGCCTACTTTTCCAGGAAAACCCAATCCAACCCCATGCTCCCAGTTCTCGGGTTTTACATTACTTACTCCATGGTTCACTTATTTCCCTTCATTTTTCTCTTGATGTTTACTCTCCTGAAATGTCTTCATCTCTAAAAGCTGAGTCCTACTTATCTATTAAGTCTCACTTCGCCCAAGAAAAGCCTTTGAAAAACCCTGCCTTTGACATTAACCATGTATTCATTAATTATTAATTGTGCATTCATTATTTTTTTCTTACATCTGTTTTTCCAGAAGTTCGTACAATGCCTGGCACATGGTACCAGTAAGCTTGTTAAATTTAAAGTTTACAATTTTTTTCTTACATCTGTTTTTCCAGAAGTTCGTACAATGCCTGGCACATGGTATCAGTAAGCTTGTTAAATTTAAAGTTTCCTCCCACAGATTTGGTTAACATTTCTTTCA